TCTTTATCTACAAACCTTATTTTTGCTATGTAGCCGTGTTTACCAAATCCATGATATACCCAATCAGGGCAGCCTCCCAAAGCTCCAGGATTGGCTGATACTGAACTTGTAAAATGTTTATGAGTGAGTGTTTGCCTGGTAATGTAGCCCTGGGTGCCCTGCTGTCAGCATGGAATTACTGATACTATTACACTCATAGGGGTTTGGAAGGAAGAGAAGGGGAGCTGGGTAATGGCAGGGAACTTTCTCATCTGACGTCTTGATGTGCATTTAGACAAAATGATTTTCACCAAAAAAACTTCACTGCCTTGTTTAAAAAAAAATAATCCATACACTTACTCTAAAAAAATGTTTTGCTACAAATTGCAGGTACGTGAGCTCAAACTGTGTACTGTCTATATAAAGTAAATTAAAAATAAATGATTAAGAAGCAGCTACACTGCCAGATTCAATAAGAGACATTTTTGCAATCTTTACCATTTTCTGTGCATGAATTTTACCAAATGACTAGAAATTAACAATTCATATTGCGTAAAAATATTCTATTATTTACTATGGTAGAATCTCAAGTCAGGCAATCAAACCTAAATACAGTACCAAAAATCTGTATTCTCCAGAAAAACTCTCTACAGCTATCTTGGATATACAGCCACTGACCTTCAGAATCATATTTTCTTTACCAATTCACTGTAATAAAAATGAACATTTTGTCATCACTTTGGGAAACTGTGCCAAACACCTTAAAACACATGTCACATGCCAACTTTACTTCGTTTTTCTCCTCGGGGAATAGATACATCTGGAATCATAATCACAGATAAAAACCTTGACAAAACTGCACATGAGCCCAGCCCTTCTCTCCAACACCTACCTTTTCATAACATTTAATACAATATTAATATCAGTTACTAAAAAGGCTTCCAACCTTTACATTTCTGACATAACATGTTCAAACCCATATTTCACACTTCTTGTTCTGTTTTAAGTTCAGTGGATTTAACAGGACTCTGGAGAGAAGATCATGTGGCTGAAGATTTCCCTCCCTCTCTAACACCCGTAGAGGCAGTTTTGGAATTGTTTAAATAGCTGTGGCTATATAAACTGAAATATTCAAGATTATGGGTATCTTTTTTCTCTCTTGCACATACATATAGATGCTTGTATATTTATCTGAAATCTACTGTTTGTACCAGCACCAAAGAATTTCTACACAACATCTGGGCAAAACATTCTGAATATTTTCCTTTTAAACTTTGTGATTTATTTTTCCTGCATATTCTTGGATTATCAGACAAACATTATTAGCTCATATTATATAATGATATTACTTGGTCTTTTTATCTATGATTGACAGTTTTTCAAATCAAAATAAAACCCATTCTTAGCCAATCATCTTCTTGAAAGCGTGTTGCTGTTTTAGGCTCGGTTTGCTTCAGACACAGCTAGAGATCTTATTCAGTCAGGGGTAAACGGTGAAATTACAAATCCAACAGATTCCCCACTCCCCCCAGAATGCCTGGCTTAGGTAATATTTAATGGCTAATTCCTAGACTGATGTTTTTACTGTATGTTTTTATATAACATTAATCAGCTGATGCTGCAAAGAAATGGAATTTGAGAACTTTGCAAATTTTCATTTTTTATTGTGTTTGTAATTAGTACCATGCTGGAAGTACCTCAGGCAGCTCGCTGTATGGCTTTGTTCATGTCAGAATGGTGATAGCAACCTCTTTTTGTTACATATTTAACAGCTTTGAAAGACATTTTTTATACAGCAAATGTACTAGACAGCTTTAAAGCAAGGGACATTAAATAGGTTGCCAATTATTCATTCAACAGCTCTACGTGCATCAAAAAAATGCATACCACCAAATTTTCCTGAGACAAACCACTTAAATTTCCTGTGACTCATGCACCATTTCTGCACTAACTGGGTAGGGAAAGCAGTCATTTAGACAGAGAAACAGATATTAAATCTTTCTTACCCTGGAATACTAAAAACATCTATAAATATGCTCATTTACAGTTTGGGGACAGCATCTGTGGCAAGAAGAGTCTTTTTTTTAAAACTGAATGGTGTTTCTTAATAAGCTTATTTCATTATTTTCTTTCACTTTAAAATCACCCAAAGTGCCTCATTTGGTATATAGGAAGTGCAAAAAGTGATATATGAATGGAGCAATAATTTCCCAGAATCGTTTCAAGTCAGCCTATTGAGCAAGTGAGTCTGTAGCACACTGGTCTGTCTCCAGCAGCTCAGGGAGCTGAAGCTGAGCTGAGCTCCTCTTGCTGACAAGAAGCAAACTGTCTCACATTTTAGGAGAACAACATCATTGCCTATAAAAATGAAGAAGAGACAAAATAAATAAAACCAGTTAATGTTGTAGTTAACTTGCAAATCAAGTAAATCTGTTGGTACAGTATTTTAGAAATAAATGATAACAGCATCACACCAAACACACATTTCCAAACATATAAGCGCTCTGATTTTGATTTAATGGTATATCAGCGTCAACTATTGCTTCCTTTGCTGGTACACACTTCCTGATGCCTACTGTGAAGGGTGCCCATATTTACAACTGAGTAAGATGATTAATTACACCTTGTCAATCACGGTGCATGAAGACATAACACCACAGCAGACAATGAAGAAGATGCCTGAAGCTACAATTACATTTTAATTCATAGTTTATTGTATGCCCTCATATATTGCAGTCTAATAACCGTAGGGGCATCAAAAACATATGAGATATCAATCACTCTCCCCCTGGTTTTTCATGTTTATATTATTTCACAGCCTTTAAATTACCATAAGTAGTTACTTATTTCCTAAGCTTTCTTATCTCTTACCTTTTGCTTCCATTTATCTTTTATTCTTAGTACCTTTATCCAACAGCTATAAGTATTTGATGGAAGTTTGTAGCTCACTTAAAATCTGTAACAGACAACCTGAAACCCAGCAATTAGCAAAGACAGCTTAGACTTGTGTTCCTTTGTTGAAGGAGGCGTTGAGTCTTTTGTTCTGATTTAGTCACGGTAGCTGGGTGGAAGCTGGTACCTCATTATGTGGTTGGTCTGTTTGTCTGGTAGGTAGCAGATGGTACTGGAGATGACGTTACCAAGAGAGGCAGGGTAGAGAAACTCAAGACCTGTGATTTGTTCACCTGTCACCTATAACAAAATACAGGTTAAAAGACTTTATTACTAGCTGCACCATTTTTTTAATGAAAAAAACCTCTCACTTCAAATGAATCTGCAGTTGATTGTAAAGATTATTTTGCTGTAGCAATTTTTCTGTTGCTCATTATTCAAGAATACCCTGGATTTTATTCTGAACAATGTAAATGTCATTCATGTGTCAGTGTGTACATTAGCAGCTTTGTGTTTACATTCTGCTACTCTCCTTGTGTTTTGGTAGCAAGGGTTGGATGTCTTCATGTGTTTGTATATCCATTTAGAAGGTAATCAGATATGGCCTGTGATTGGAAGTCACGGCATACCTGCCTGACATGCTACTGGTTTTAATGGTTCCAGCCACTTAGGCAGTACAGTTACATAAAATATCATATTTTAATTCAATAAATAAATAAAATCTTTTAGATAATCAGTATTGTCAGATGGAGTGTACAAATCCATGACCTTTCCCACTTCCAAAACCTTTATTATCAGTTACATGACACAGCACTGAACTGCACTGCTGCTGTTCCACAGCAAGTTACGGTGTCCATGGTGTCAAGTGAGCAGTATTCCACCTCAGCATTACTGGAGGCAAACCTCCCACTTGAGACGGTGTTTGAAATGTCTTGTAATTTAAGGAAGGGATAAATTACTTTATTGACATAAGCATCATACAGTTCTAGTAATTCTTTGTAGAATTCTAATCTGAACTAAAACATGAGCATCTGCTGTCTTCAAGATGTGGTTTTAGGACAGTCTTTGACTAGTTCCCATGGATGACAAACTAGCTTGTGTTCTGAACGGTTTCCAGTGCAGTCTGGTGGCTACTTCATACGCATCTCTACAAGAGACTCTGTACTCCTCTGTGACACGCTCAGAGCAATTCAACAGAAAGATGGTAAAAAGCCTTGATTATTATAAGAACAGAACACATAAACCTAGCCAGATCTGAATCTAAATGAAGTCATTCCAACTGTAGCAAAGACAGCGATACCTTTACCCCACCTGGAAGAGGTACATCCCTGTTTCAGACCCGTAATTCTGATGCACTCAGTGATGTAATCATTTGCAGGCATGGACAAAGCAGCAGGTCTCATCATCTCGGGTGTACGTTCAGGTTTACTTTCCATTGCTCTACCTTTCTAATATAATCCTAACTGTGATATTGACGTCTTTAACACTAATTACTCCACCCTTCGTATCCACCTTCTGGGTACATATTAAGACATGAGGAGCACTTTCCCATTTTGCACTCCTCGTCTTTTCCGGAGGTTTCCTGAAGCTTCTCCTGAAGTTCAGGGCAGGCCTTTCTGGCCCAGCGCTCCCGCAGCCGGCTCGGGCGGAGGAGCAGAAGCCGCCACCGGGGCAAGGCTTCGCGGCCAGGAGCGGCACAGCCGGCAATGTTCTCACGGCGGATGTTGCTCGGGAAGGGCCTCGTTGGAGGCGCTTGGCGTGCTGTCAGTGGGTTCGGTGCCTCCGACTCGGAGGGCTAACAACCTCGGCAGCCCCCAGAGCGCCGCCAACGCGGGACGCGAACCGCCGTGTACGCCGGACGGGGAGCGGAGCGGCCGGGACCGGGGCGGCGGGGCCGAGAAGGGCCGAGTAGGGCCGCGGCCCCTGCGCGCCTCCCAGCCCCGAGCACATGCCGGCGGGCCCGGGCGCGGCGGCAGCCAATGGCGGCGGGGCAGGACATGATGTCAGAGGGGCTGTAGAAAAGGCGCGGAGCCTCGCGCGGCGCCCGAGCTGCAGACGCGCCGCTCGCAGGCACCGCGGCGGGCGGCGGCTCCGGCTCTGCTGCCACCGCCGCCGCCGCTTCTGCTACCGCCGCCGCTTCTGCTGTGCTTCTGCTGAGCTCCCCCGCGGTGCGGCGCGGCCGCCCCCCGCCAGCAGTGCCCCGCCAGCAGCCTCCTGGGCCCGAGGGCCGCGCCGCTTTAAGGAGAGAGGGGGGCCGCGGAGTGCCCGTCCCATCTGGTGCCCATCCAACTCTTCCTCCTTCCCCTTGGCTTTTTCTTTTCCCAATGAGCTCCAGCAGGCTGGGGGAGGAGCGGGGGAAGGAGCAAACTTTGCCCCTGAGCTGCTGCCGCTGCCAGCCCTCTGGACTGTGAGTGCGTACGGTGGGCACCCGCCCCATCCTTGCAGCATCAGCCTGCTCCTGCTCTCCGCCTGCCGCACTCCCTCTCCCTCGCTTTCTAAATTTCGCACAGTACGATGTAGGGGCTGGTCGTTACTCTTTTTATTTCTCACCGAAGATGGTGTATTTTTTTTTAATATATATTTATCTTATTTATTAATTCCTCCCGATCGTAAGCCTGCCCAGCCTCCTGCCAGCTGGGCCAGAGCGTAAAGCCTGGGACTGCACCTGGGGCGATGAGCCCTGCGCTGAAGAAGCCTCCCGGAGGGATGCGCCGGGGCCGCGCAGCAGCCTAGCTCGGCGTCCCGGAGCGCGCAGCGCCTCTCGGCCCCTCTCCCTCGTCCCCTCCGCTCGCCTGCTTTGCACCCCGTCCCCTTGAAACCTCGGATCAGAGCCTGCGCCCCGCTCCGGAGATCTCCGCCGGGTGGAGAGCCCGGAGCCCGAGGAAAGACGGGGCGGCCGTGCTAGATGCATGGGGGAGGGCTCCGCTTAATGCAAGTTCTGGGCTCCTGCAGGGACCCCGACAACTGTCAGCGGCAGCAGCAACTCGGGGCCTCCTCCTCGTCTTCCTCAGCGATGCTTTTCCACAGCCTGTCCGGCTCGGAGATGCACGGGGTCATCGACGAGATGGATCGGAGAACCAAAAGCGAAGCACCGGCCATCAGCTCGGCTATAGACAGGGGAGAGACCGAAACGGTAGGAGGCAAAGGAATGGGAGAGTCGTTCAACTCCCTAAACGTAACGAACCCTTCAAAAATACAGCTTTTCCTTTAAAATAACAGATCGGGGGGAAACGTATGCAAAATACTAAATCGGAAGAAATTTAAGCATGAAGGCACTCCAAAAGATTGAGTAAAACCATGGGGAAAGGCATGAAACTGTTAATTATTAATAACATGCATAGTAATAGTAACACTTGGGTGGAACAAACGGTGCTGCTCTTGCAAGAAACAGAAAGCTGGAGCAGCCTTTTGGTAGCGTCCAAGCACGCCTTCCCTTCCCCCAGCAAGTCCGGCCTTCAGAAGTTTTTAGGGAGAGGCAAAGTATGCTTTTGTACAGATAACGTTTGGGTACAGCAAAATTTTTGTCTGCAGAATGGAAATAAATACCAGAGAATCCAATTCGGTGTTGTTTTTCAGGTGAGATATCTACACTGAAGTAGACATTGTAGCATAGAAAAGCCCAAACAAAAGCAAACAAACAAATAAGCAAAACAAAATCCCCAAACTTCAACCGTCTTTAAATCATAATTTCTCATAGTAGGAAGATCCATGAGCACTGGATTTCTGAACTTGGTGAACGGATCTGGAAGACGAGTTTCAGGGAAATGGATGCAAGTCTTTGTAACTTTACCCCATCTTATCTTATATCTGCTGGTGGGCAGTGCTTTTAGATGATAAAAGGATGCATCCTTCGAGCCAGAATTAAGCAGCAAAGTGGAAGAAATTTTATAAGAATATTAATTTAACTGAGTCAATATTTATCGTATACTTTTTTTTTTTTAAGAAAAGAAAATTCTGGAGTGAAATTATTCCATATTTTAGTAACTGTCTTGTAAGGTAATGTGCAAGGAGGGTGTCCAATCATGGCTTTTAAGAGACTTCATCAATGTGTTACTTCTCAATGTTATGTAGAAATGTACTTAAAAGTGACAGTGAGATTATTTAATCCCAAAATATGGGCTAGAGCAGCCTTTGTACAATAGCATGATTTCTGAAGGGTTTGGGTTTTCTTTTTTTGTTGCTGTTGTTTTTTTTAAGTTAATATTTCTGCATATAATTAAACAATATCAAGTTTTCTTTGCTGGAATAAATATTGTGGCGTGATATTTTATCTATTGATATAATTTATTTGTATTCACATATGGATGTAGTAATAGTGGGATAGAATACTGGATTCTTAAATACCAATTCTGGGCATCAGAATATTTTTGTTACTGGCTAAGCAAAGCAGAAAAGTTGTGTTTCATTTGAAGTTGATTTATAAGAAACTACTTCTTGTGTAAAACGATCCCCAATCAGAGTTCACTTCATGCCTTAAAGAAATTAGGCATCAGTAGACTCGTAGCTATCGTAGTGCCATCGTTGTGTTTACATGCGCTTCTGATAGTGGAAATGCTGTACGGCAAACAGTGGTGCTCACAGTGATGGGGTTTTGTGATCTCTGGAATTGCTGGGTGGATGCAGTCGGTCTCGCATGTGCTGGACAAATAGCTCCATTTCTTTTGGGTCTCCCCGTTAGCTGCATTCTCTCTTCTCGCTTTGCACAGGACTTCAGGCTCTAGAGGAGGTAAAAGTAAACAAACAGATTCCCCCCTTCCCGAATCAAAACAAACTGCGTGTTTGGGGGGAAAAGAAGTGTTTGGAGTTGTCTTGCACAAGGACAAGTCTGCAGTGTGGTTTTGAGCAGAGTGCCATGATAACAGTAAGTTTAGAATGAAGTGGACAGCAGTGCGTTGCCAGACCTGCCGTAAATACTGCTCTGCTCTGCACCTCTCGTTTCCAACTCTGTTTTAGGGTGCGGGGCAAAACACATGAGAGCACTTAAACGGTTTCCGATATTTTTTGCTTTTTTTTTTTTTTTTCTCTTGGTAGGAGTTGACAGAATATGTATGTATTTGTTTTTCTTTTTTTCTTTTTTTTTTTTTTTTTTTCCAGGGGGTTTCGATTGGATTGCGATTTGACACTGAACTATTAAATTATATAGGGGTTACATTTAGTTTTATTGCTTCCAAGTTTATCCCAGTATAATCTAAAGCACTCTGTTGTTTCTTCCCACTTTATTTCTCACTATTTCGTTTTCCCGATAAAACATTCTGCACCTCAGATTTAGTAACGTTCGTCTTCACAGTTTTTTTTGCCGATCCCTCCGGTGCTTTGGGTCACTGCAGCTTTAGGTGCATTTGTTTGGAAGCAGCTTGCAGGGAGCTGCGTCTGTGCCACTGTGGCTGCTGGGGGGTTGATCGTAATTCACTTGGAGTTTTATTGCTAGGAAAATACACACGCGGACACGCTCCACATATACGCACTCACGGAGCATTAACTATGCAGATACTCTCCGTGTATCCATAATAAGCAAATTTAAAATGAACTGTCTGCGATTTTCCCTGTTCTAATTGTTGCACCTGGCTGGTGAGGAGCATCTTTTCTTGTTCCTGGGATTGGCAAATTCATAAAAGGAACCAAGAAAAAAAAAAAAAAAAAAAAAAGGAGAAAGAAAGAAAGAAAGAAGCCCTGGGTCTCATCCAGACGACTCCCAGGTTTTTTCTTGCTGCGTTTCCCCCTCCCGCAGGGCCGGGCAGTGTCTGCCCCCGGGGAGCCGCGGGGCCGGACCGGACGGAGCCCCACGGCGCGCTCTGCGCTGCAGCGGTGAGACACGCGGTCGTGCAGGAACGGGGGAGCGCAGCAGCGCCCGAGCTTCTCCCTCTCGCTAACGGTCCGAAATTGTTTTCCCCCAGCAGACCATGCCTTCCATCAGCAGTGACCGGGCTGCCCTGTGCGCCGGCTGCGGGGGGAAAATCTCCGACCGTTATTACCTCCTGGCTGTGGACAAACAGTGGCACATGCGCTGCCTGAAGTGCTGTGAATGTAAACTCAACTTGGAGTCCGAGCTCACCTGCTTCAGCAAGGACGGCAGCATTTACTGCAAGGAGGATTACTACAGGTACAGCCCGTCCCGGCGCGGGGGGACCCGCTCAGACTTCTCACGTCTGGTCCTGGGGGCTGCGCAGGGGTCGAAGGGCGCGGGACCCCGGGGGCGGGCAGCTCCCGAAGCGCCGGCGGGGCGGGATGGCGCGGGAAGGGACGCGGCTCTCCCCGGCTGCGCGCGGGGCAGGGAGCAGAGCCGTACCTGGAGGGCTCGCCGACCCCACGCGTGTCACCGCGAGGGGCCGAGAGCTCGGGCACGCTGTCCGCCCGGCCGGTTGCAGGCCCACCGCCGGGACGGTTCGCGGGGCTGTGGGCAGCTCTCCCTGGCGTCCGGCCGCCGCGATGCCGGTGGGAAGCGGCCCCGAGGCCGCTGGCGGCTCTGCGCGGTGCCGGCTCTGTGCGGCCCCGGCCCGCGGCCCCTCTTCTGTCGTCTTCCGAGCAGACCCGACGAAGAGCGGGATGCACCTCTCACCGCCTCCTCTGGCCGTTCTGTTTTGCAGGAGATTTTCGGTGCAGAGATGTGCGAGATGTCACCTGGGGATTTCTGCCTCTGAAATGGTCATGAGGGCCAGGGATTTGGTATATCACTTAAATTGCTTCACTTGCACCACTTGCAACAAGATGCTGACCACCGGCGACCACTTCGGCATGAAGGACAATCTGGTGTATTGCCGCCTCCATTTCGAGACTCTCATCCAGGGGGAGTACCAGGTGCATTTCAATCACTCGGATGTAGCCGCTGGGAAGGGCCCAGCGTTGGGTGCGGGCTCTGCCAATACTTTGGGACTGCCTTATTATAACGGCGTGGGGACTGTCCAGAAGGGGAGACCCAGGAAAAGGAAGAGCCCAGGGCCTGGGGCAGATCTGGCAGCCTACAATGCAGGTAAGAGACCCCATCTTCCCCCAACAACAATTCAAACGGTTTGTTTCTGTTCACTTCCAAAGGGGGATTTCCGTTTATTTTAGCTTAAACCGTTAATAATAGTTTAGCTGCAGCATAATTATTGAGATCAAGTGCTGTCAAACTGCAATTACAGAAGCTAATATGTTAGCATTTTTCACTTCAGCTGGAAATAAAATGTTTTGAAGCAAGGTCATCTGGTTAAGGAGGGGGAGAAGGGGGGGGCTGTAGCCTGAAATAAAATCTGGAAACCAGAGATTGTAAGTTAGCACTTCAGAGAGCTGTGAATTTTCTTTAGTAGCTAAACCCTCAAAGGCTGCTGACGAGTGAATGATTCTGTCCTTCTGAGCTCTTGCGCCTCGGAGTTTTGGAAGGAAAAGGAGAGAGAGAGGAGGCACAGGGGCGGCTGTTTCCCGGCAGGTTGGGCTGCGGTGCCCGCGGAGCCTGCAGGGGCTGCAGGAAGCAGGTGCTGCCGCAGCCTCGAGTCTGCTCCTGCGGTGCCAGGATTTGTGTGCATCAGAGGTGATTCAGAGGAGTCAGGAAACTCACAGCATCTCCATTCGCTGCCCCGGGTCGCAGCCCCTTCCTCTTAACTGAGACCAGCAGTAAGAAGAAAGTGGGCAAACCTGGAGACAGCCACAAGCCTGCGGACTGCGCAGGAACTCCGTGTCTCAGGCTCTGTGTGCTCAGCTGCCAACTTTCTGATGTCCTTCCTCGTTTAACTTCCCCACTATAACAGCACTGTAATTCTGTAGGCAAAGGAATTCGGTCAGATTCCTGCCTCTCTCCTTCCCTCGCCAGAAAGGCCGCGGTCGCCGGCGCTGCTCCTTGTGTGCAAAGGGAAAAGTTTTTGGACGGTAGAAAACGTTTAGATCTCGGTGCGGTTCGAACTCAAGGCGGAGGTGGGGTTTCCTTCAGACCTGAGCACCCATAAGCTGTCCCGTTAGGCCCCGGGGATGAAACTCGTGCGTCCGTTTCGTTGTGCCATTTCCGTACTGTTTGCGATGTTTCCCGTTGTTTCAAGCGCGTTTTCTTTTCAATCTGCGGGGCTCAGATTCGTCCCGTAGGGCTCCGTCGCGTTTTGCCTCCCCGAGGTGGCGCCAGATGGGGGGGAGCATCCGGGCCGGGCAGCGGGCAGGGAGGGAGAACGTGTGGGGAACGGGGAGCCAGAGCCGATGGTTTGTGCTGAAAATAGCAAGGAGAGAAGGACCGTCTCCGAGTGCCAAGTACGCCTCAAGAACAAAATTGCCACCTATCGTGGGTTTGACCGATAGCTGAATAATCTGGAAATTCGTACAAAAATCCGTAGGTGTCCCAGTGGTGGAAGGTGTGTGCAACTGCGCGCTTTCAAACGTTCAGAAAATGTGCCTCCTGCCCGTTTAGAAATGTTTCCTTTTCGGAGGGATTCGACTGTAATTGCCGTTCCGCTGTCTCCCTGTGCAGGGCAGATGTTCAGTTTCCAAGGACCTGTAACCGAACCGGCGGCATCTGTCCCGGCTGGGAGCAGCCTCAGAAAGCCCTGCCGCTGCCTGACCTCCCGAAGGAACCGTCCTTAATTGTACCTTAACAAATCGTTCAAAAATAATTGCCCTCCCGTTTTGCTTTTCTAATTTTGGGTTAGACCCCGTAACTGAAGCTTAACAGGTCTTCGAGGAATCTTCAGCTTCTCTGCTGAAGCTATTTATCTACTTAACTGCTTACTAAACCAATAATCAATTAATTTATATGGTAATAAGTGCCATTGAGCTTGGAAATCAGAGCGGGTGTTCTGTTGGTTTAAAATTTCACAAAGCAGGAAATGATTGCAAAGCCTTCTATTTTGTGTCTTCTAAAGGAGGCCGTTGAAAAGTGCGTGATGGTTTCTCTCGAGTTATCTTTAATGGACCTTCTCCTTCCCTTCTGAGAATTGCACTAGGAACGAACAATACTGTCCTTCGAGAGTGTTTGTTGCTGTTAATTTGTGTAGAATACTTTGTGTAAATAAATCTACACCCAGAGGTGGTGGGAAAAGGGGGACCCGTAAATACAGCCGGAATTGAGATGGGAATTATTTCGTAAATAGCAGCAAACATTCATCTGCGACGTGAATTGGTCTGGCTCGCTGCCTCTTTTTTTCTACTTAAACGAAACGCTGTTTGCACGGGAACGATGAGTTCTGGATGTGGATGGAGCCTGACAAGTGGAAAATAGCTTAGAAGGATGCCGAAACTTCAAAAAGATTTCGTGTTTTTTTT